TCACTGACGTCTCGCGGTACACTTGATGTCATTATGCGTTAGGTGTCATTTCAGGACAGGAAGATTCGCTTAATGTAAGAGCCAACTGTGGACAGGTCAGTGCTCGACGAGGAGGCATACAGTCACATGCACAGTGTCAATAAACCAGTCGATGTCACCTCAAGCACGATTAGACAAATGAAGCAGAATTAAGCACATACTGAGATGGCGAGTGATCGTCGGCTAGTGGCTTGGGCTGCTTCGTTGAATACTGGTAATCGCTACTCCTCCATAGAACTTACAAGCTCAGTCCGGGATCCGGCGCTTTTGCACACCTTTCATACTGACCATCGCCAACTTTCAGCTTCGGAACCAGTGTGCCTGGCATAAAGCTGTGTCCTTGACCTTCCGTACCAGATCTATTTCTCATCATAAGAAGTCTCTTTTAACCGAACTTGTGTGCAGTCCGATTGACGGCAGTCACGTCATCAAGCAGTTAGTTGCACCTTCCGTCTTTGATTCTCCACGACTGTCGAATATTTTGGTGACACCATCATTGCAAATATTAGCACATTTATCACCTCGGATTCTGGTGAAATGAGAGGCAGAAATGGCAGCTACTTAAAGTACATCAGTTTTCTTGGGCAAATGTGTGAAACTAATGGCGCTTAAGGATAAACATTGATGCGGTTTACCAATCAGGTCCTAGGAGCAAAAAGGCGGCTGCTATCACCTATCGCCTTTTTGTGGCTTCACAGGCGTAAATTAATTGGAAAGGCTCTTTAGAGCCCCACATCTATTTTTTTCACTTTTCACCCCTTCAGACGATTCTTAAGAATGCTTCAACTGTGATACAACCGCCAACACACACGATATTCGAGGCGATACACCTTCGAGATTCCCATAGGACTAAAACCGCGTACTTCATGGCTGCTTGTCCGTCCAATGGCAGTTTACTCAAGCGCAATTCAGTTCAACTTGATAAGTGTCATTTGCCGCCATGACAACGCGTCAACATTAACGTTTTCAAAGGGTGCAGAGAAGTTCTACTTTCACAACTTGACGACGGCGCGTTAAATTGTTGAAGGACTCTTGACATGCTAAGCGGACTCGTGAAACAAGGAGCTTGAACATTCCACTAATGATGATAATTGCCACACAAACACACACACACCACTTTTTCAGGAATCTGAAGAAGAAGCCAATGATAAGCAAAATCCGTGTTAGACAACGGTAGAAGAATAGAACTGGTCAATCAGCAATCAGCTCTATACATCTGTTAATCAGTATTTGCTCATTTGGGGGAGAAGCAGCCGATTTAAACAAAAAAAATCAGTGGGATACGATTTGGTGGAAGTCGATGTCAAAGTCAAGGAAAACGGCATGCTAACGATCTCACACGTTTGAACTGTCCCCAATTGGTCACGTCGATTCTCAAACGAACCAATCACGTTTAAGATGCGAGGCCGGCAGACAAGCGTTACCGGAGCTACACGAACTTGAAGACGCCTAATATTTCATTGGCCTGTGGTACCAACTTGAAATACCGCAGTTTGAGGCCCATGCATATCGCCAATGCCCACTTGGTTCTGCCGCAGAATCGTCAGGATAATAATTACTAAACGGAACTACCGATGTTGGTAAAACGTCACTGAAAATAACACTTAACATCAAGCTAAACTACCGATAAGCAAACCCTGGCAACGCTGGATGGCCAGTCGCGTTCGTGTGTAAAGGCTTTCGGCTTTTAAATGTCAACGACCAACTGTGATGTCGTAACTAGTGAAAGTTGGCGCCATCCTTAATCCCACATATCCAACTTCCAACTAAGATGAGGATTAGCAGATTACTGATCGACATATTTTTTGTCAAAATTTTCAAATTCCTGTGGATTTCTTGCTGGAATCAGACGAGGTTTGGTCTTCGACGACGTGACAACAACGTGAGACAGCAAGGTTCAGAACCGGAAATGCCCCACTCTTAAAGAGATGTGCACTGGTGTCACCTTCAAAAGGCGACCATTTCACAACACAATACTCAATGATAGGAGTTCGGTGTTGACAATTCAGATCGTGACATCGTCCGACGGATTCGAGATGTTTTAGTGACTAACTCCTTTCATAGATCTTGAGATTTTTTTGTGCTAAGTACGCGTCCGAAGAAGTAGGGTTAATTCTCGCTATCTGCACCTCCAACGGAATCGAAGTTGTTCGTGTAGAGAAGGTTGCGTGTCGACATCGCGTGTGGAGCATGATATGGGGTGACAATTGACGCACCCGAAAACCGACAGGCAACATTTCGGAGGGGGATTTGCATAAATGCGCAAATTCCCGTAGCCAAGAGGGCGAAATCTGGCTACTTTTGCAGTGTGAATAAGCTATACTTGCTTGTAATCATGAAGGGCTTCCACAGCCAATCAATGTTTGCTTTAATGCCTCCCCAAATTTATTAGTCCAAAATCACACAAGGTCTATGTGAACGTTCATTAATCATCAGCGGTTTTGCGGGATTTAACACATTGATCTACATTACGCGATATTAGCTGATGTGCCGAAATTCACCCAAATAATTCAAAATTAAATCATTGACAACTCACAGGTGCACGAGGGTATGCAAGTACTGTTTTAAAATCCTAATAATCGATCCGTGCTGACTTGATAACATCGAGGTAGCCTTGACCGCTACCCTTGAGGTCTCCTGTTCGGTGAAATTTTAAAGTAATAACACCACTACTGAAGCCATTTAAGTACTAATAAATATATATTACACGCCTTTCGCCCCGACCTCTAGTGTTGGCAGTCGTGTGTCCGCTCCCCCCGACATATCGAGCCCCTCGTACATGGTGGCGACAAATATTGCCAGGAAATGGACAACACACAGAACTCGGAAGAGGGGTCGACCCAGCCAAAAGAGGAAGCCAACTCCGGTCGCAGCGCCAAATTTGTACCCCACGACCTGGGCGGTGTTGCCGTGGGAGAGCTCCAAGTGCGTGAGAACGGCCATCGCCACAGAGACCCCAGATAAGGAGAAACACGCTGAGAGGAGGAGGCGTCGACTGGTCACTTGGTGCGTCTAGGGAGTTTTGTGGAAATGGCCAGGCTGCAAGGGGAGAGGCCCGCTATGCTCACCTGAAGCCAGAGCCGCCTTGTGCCCCACGTGTCTACCAGGGGTACGGAGGTGCGACTAAACACCCACGGTGGCAGGTAGGGCAGCTTATGGAAGCCGAGAGCAGTCAACGAGGCACCGTGAGAACGAAGGATTAACGGAAGAAATCGTGACTACAGGCTGTAGGGCACACCCACAGTTGGCAAAAACTAAAGTAGTCTTAGCCGGTGAGGGAAAGAGAGAGGAAAAAACAGAATTTTTCAATAGTTTTGGAGACGAAAAAAGAATTGACATGCAGGCACAAATAATTTGAGATCTGAGCGTATGTGGCTGACAAGTGGCATATGGCACAGCGCATTGGCGAGGCGACCGATACGGCGAGCAGGCGGCTTGTTAAGAATTACGCACTCACGCACGCACGCACGCGTGCAAGAAGGCGAGCAATTGATCGATCGGTCGGTCGATGGACGCCTGCACGCCAAGCGGCTGAAGCAGTGGCGGTGGCAGCAGCGGCAGCAGCAGCTGTGCTTGTGCAAAGATGGGCTGTAGAAAATGCTTGAGTGGTGCTAATCCCTCACTGCCTCTGCTGCCAATGCTAACGCTAATAGACACATTAAATAAATAAAATTGTGTTATTTGTTAGCATGCTCTGCCCTGTGGTAGAAACGAGTGGAAAAAAACTGTTAAGGGAGGAGGGACCTTACGAGTGGTGGTGGTAGTAGGGAAATGGCCAAATTGCCTGCTGCAGAATAAGAAGACCTAGTACAGGAGAGTTGTGCATTCATGTGAATGAAAAGGTTGAAGGCGTAACTGTTGTTGCTCAAGCAACTGACAGCCTAAAGCAACTTTATACGGTGAGAGAGAGAGAGTAGGAGCGAGCAGAAAGGAGTAGGCTACGACAGGAGAATGTGAAGGCCTTGACGACCAACGCAGCAGGTGAGATCGACTTGAGGTGGACGACGAAGGGCTAAGGGCTCTAAATTGGCAAATATTGTGCCTAGAGTACACTTACTTTACTGGCAAACAAGGCTTACTCCAGTTGGAATCAAGAAGAGTTCGAATAGGTGTTAAAACAAGCCAAAAAAGAACTAAAAATAGATTAAAAAATTAATTGATCAAATTGGTTTGAATTTGATAAAGTTTCAAGCAAAATTAGGGTATGCCAGTTCGACCTTTTTCATTACACACTTAAACATACCTACTACTGCTGTCAATTGTCTGCTATGCTCAAGGTCTGCATGGCATCACACCAAGTTGAAAAAAAGCACAACGTGAAACAAATTCATTTTATTGCTTGTGTCTGCATATGCATTTGAATAGACCTACACCCTAAATCCAAAAACTAGACATATCCTACATAAGCAGTCTGAGAGGCATCTGTTGGTGGAGAAAATA